AGAGGGTTTTGGTTTTTTTCAAATATTTCATTTCTGAAATTCTACATTCAACCTCAGCATCCAATCATGCCACAGATTATCTGTATCAGCAAAAATGTGATTTATTCAAGAATCTAATGATGGTAGTTAGTTAGCCTGGGAGTCTGATGTGAATTGTCTTTTTGAGTCAAAGTTATGAGTTTTCCGAATATTCTCCATTATTTCCTGGCACTGAGGTAAATTCCTTTCAGGCTGTGCATCAGCACGTTTCCAGCAGATGGCAAGAGATTCCCAGGCAACTCGCTGGGAATCACGCTTGTGCAGACGATGCTTACAAGTCGTACGTCTTTATTTAGTGCTTCAGCGTGTTGAGAACTCTCCTTTAAAAATCAGTTTAAAAAAAAAAAAAAAAAAAAAAAAAAAAAAAAAAAAAATCTTTGGGTTAATGACTGCATTAATCTAAAGTGCAGCTTGAGCCATCAGACACAAGGTACTTGTCTGTTTCTGACAAGGCTGACCAGAAAACTCCTCCCTCCCAAACACTCCAATGAAAACATCATTATGGCAGCTACTTTTTCCAGATAATTGTTGCAAAAAAGGGTCAATCGGTACTAATTTCACCTCGGTAGAAGACAGGTATCCTGCTAGTACTTGAATTCATGACTCAAAATCTTCAGCTATATTAGGACCTTTCAAGTTTGCAAGGTTTTAAAGATTTAGTAGGGATTAGAATGATGCTTTCACACTGTGAACTAAACAACAAAGAAATTGAGAGAGACAGCTCATATCTCCAAGTGCATGTGAAGCGTGAGTAACCAGTTCTGTATCACTTTAGAATAAAAATGCCTCCCCATAGAATGTCTCTTTAGCAGATCAAACCAGCAGTGTGTGCAGGCTGCTCTCCAGCCTACTTACTTTCTTCTTTTGCCAAGGAAGAGACTAGATATTGTTTCCATTTAAATAACTAGCAGTGAAATCCTTGGGTGCAGTGGGAATAAATTTGGGGCAGGTGCCACAAAGTTTGGATAAAAATAATAAGTCAAAGCATTAATATATTTGAACATAAACTCGAGTAAAGCAGATATTCTCCATAATATCAGAAATCACCATGGCAATTCTTTGTAGATTTTCTTGCTGGCTTGAATATTAGTGTTTTTCTAGCCTGTGTTAAAATAGACAAAATGAATAATGTTTCAAGACTATTTTAAGCCAACACCTCCCTTACTTGTCTGTCTTATATAAGATAGAAGCAACCAGAAGCTGACTCTTGTTGACACCTCATTAGCCAGGAGGAGAAAGAATTATATGAGTAGCCCAAACTACACATCTTTAAAAGCAACTAAACCCAAACCTTTGTGCTTCTGTATTTACTTTTTCAGGATATTTAAACAACCTGTTTGATTTTACAATACTATGTGCGCTGTAATTGATCAAGAATATGTAGAACCTCCCGTTCTTTATATATATGCACATACAAGGTTGTATATGTAAAAGTTTCACCCACAAAGATGAGGGGTAGGATAATCTCAAACGTATCTGTAAAAAATGTGGTTAAAGATGTACAGAAATAGTTACTTTGTATTTGTTTAAAGCTGGAAGAAATGCAGCAATAAAGGAAGAACAGCCTGGATGGAACATTATACCAGATGTTTTACAGATTACTCTGTATTTCATCACTCAGTCTTTATTTAATCTTAAGGCTGTAGTAATTGTAATACTGGAATAGTTCAATGGCCTATATATTGTTTTGCTACTTCCAGCTCTGCCCGTTCCAATTGGCCAAAGCTGGCCAATTATTTATTACTGTGGAAAGAAAAATGTTCTCCCTACTCCACTTGGTAAACCCATGAATGAAAATTGAGTTTTGTGAAATTTGTGCTGCTCTTATTCAGATTACTTACCTGATAAACAGCTAATGCAACCTGGATCTGCTAGTAGCTAATGTTACCCAGTAATTATGTTAAAGATATTTGGGCTAAAATTAGGAAGAGTTTCTTTGAGAGTGAGGAGAATTTGAGACATGACTTAAACTATCTTCTTGTCCCTATTGCATGTATGGGGTTAGTAGTGTGCAGTGTAAGAGAGTGAAACAGGGAGGAAAGAGTGTGTTTGTGTGGGAGTGTGCTACTTAATTATCACAGGGTTGAGTTTCTTGCCTTTTATGTAATAATCATTGGAAGGTGCAAAGCCTTGTCAATTGAGACTTTCAGTCTCCCTGTTTTTCATACCTGGGCAATAAGATTATATTAGTTTTGCCCAATATGTTCTTTTGCCAAAGAGAAAGATAATGTCATCTTCTTTTCCCTTTTCAAAAAGGAAAGAGAACTGAGGATCAAGTGAAATAGAAGTATTGCAAGAGTTAAAGAAACTATAAGTTTCCAGAGGTTTCCAGTGCCTCAGAAATGCAGAATATTTGGATTTATTTTTTTGGACCAATCTTTTCATGGAACAGTGAACTCCCAATAACATCTGATTAATTCTGTTCGTGCTATATTTTCTGACAGTCTGGGCTTGACTGTCTTCTCAGATTTGTTTTTACTGTGCAGGACTTAGTAAAAGAAATAGCTGTGGCACAAAGCTGGTATAAGGAGAGAGCAGATCCCTGATGCATTATGTAATGAGGGGCTTAAATCCTCAAACTGATTCTATTTAAGACACAGTGCCTTTCTCATCTGTCTACCAAATCCATCCAAAAACACATCTTCATTGCCAAATTTGTATTCAGTTTTCATTGGGAAGGATCAGTTCTTTATGTTTGTAACATGTATTGCACACAATGTTATTTTAATATCAAACAGGCTTTCGACCATGGCAAGTGGTTTAAGCTGCTGTAATAAAAAGGGCAGGAGGGAGTTGCTTCAGATTTTTTTCTTAAACAAAAATATTCTCAGAAACTTTCAATAAGCTTTCTGTTATCTATTCTGCTTCAGAGACAAATACACAGGGTGCTGTTTTGCTCCTAACAAGAAGTGCTTTTCCAGGGTAATGACTGGGAGTATTTAAAATCAGAGCAATCGTATTAAGTGTTTTGTTGTCCCAACAGCAGAAGCCTCATTGAGCTAAATTGGTTTCACTACATTATCTATTGGATTAGCAAACCAGTTTAAAACTGATGTGAGAGCTTTTATTTTAACTGGGATAAATGCTTTCATTTTTACCCAGAAACAGGACAGACATTTCTGGTTTTTAACCTCTTCATAGTGCTGTCACTATTAATGCCAGCATTACCTTCAAACAAATGCAATATCTTGCGCTTCTTCATCTTTCATCTTGTGCTTTCTGATTTTTTTCGACCTCATGAGGCAGTGATAGCTATTTTTTCAATCAGCACAGCAGCGTGCATAAGTGGCCCCCAGAAAGCTCTCATGAACACTCAGTGGTGCTTCCTCTTCTGTTGTCAAGGCCAAAGGAGAGTTTTGCAAACCCTTGGGCACTGAAAAGGCAGGATGTCATTATGGGCTGAAATCTCTAGGGTCATTCTGATTTTCCTTCTAATGCATTTTATCTTCCAGTTCAATAGTTGGAATGCCTATTTTGTCCGTTTATAGAAGCTCCAATTTCTGTATATCTACATTTTATTAACACTTCACATTTAGAATGATTACATTAACACATATCCCACTCTTTTTCTCACAGACACGCCAGTCCATAGAGCAGTACTATAAATTGCTGAAAGGAACACAAATGCTTTCAGGTGCAGCACAGAAAAAGTGCCTTCTCATCTGTCACATACTTTTTTTTATAGCACTAGTACAACCCATCCAAAGTCAGCATTCAACTGACATCAAATCTGGCTTATTTCACTTTATTAAGGGCATCATGAAATTAGAGTTGAATAGGGAATTGTCTTTAGATGTTAATAGGTCTAAAGGAGTGATGTCTGGGGATTTTTAAATACGACAATTTCAAATGAAAAAAAAAAAGTGAAGCACACACAAAAGTATAGAAGATTCAAATTTATGCTAAACTCCAATCAATTCACCATATTCCTGTACTGAAATGTCTCCTCAAAAGTTTGAATGGCATGTGATTTTTCAGTTTCTGGCTCTGGAAACCAATTTAAGAAAATCTCCCTCTTGTTGATGGAGGTGTTTTGTCTTGTGCTACTCATGCAAGTGCAGCAACAGCAGCTGAAGCTCCTGTTTTCCCCTCAGATCCCCTTGTTTCTGGGATGGACACGTTGCCATATGTGCGCTCACAAGGCACTTCTCCAGCTCCCTGCAACCTTCTGAGATATTTTTTGCCTTTTATTTATGCTTCTGTCTACATCACTGTAGGTAGTCTGACATTCTGGCTTTGGGGTTTTTTAAGGAGATTGCTGCCACCTTTTACTTTGATCAGTCATGCTGAGTTGTACACCTTGAAGATCTGCAGTCAAACTAGAGAAAAAATTCACTGAATAAATCTTCTGGAGCAGTCAGCAGGACATGCAGCCTGTGACTGTCTCCCAGATGGAGAAGCAACTAATTTTGTCCAATAACCCCATGTGATCAGTCAGTTGGCTGCAGTGTAAGGAGTTATGTCAGGTGCACAGTTACAAACTATTACTGCTGAAGTAATTAGATCAGACATTGCCTTTATAATATCTGCAGCCACCTTTTTGCTAATTACTCTCAATAACCAGCCACTACACACTAGAGGGACTAGGGCCATGCTTCCTTCTCTTCTCTTTAATAACTTTAATTCTAAAATCATGGATTATTTTCTTATGATTTGCACTCCTCAGGAAGTAGCTGTGAATATTCTTCCAGCTGGATTTAGTCAATAATTTCACTCTTAGCAGAAGTAACTGACATTGACAGGCTACGTAATAAACCATTAGCTGGAGAAAACAGTGGGATACAAAAAGTCTGGATTCTGCTTTCCCAGCAGAAGTTAATCTGATTTTAAACTAAAGATTATTTCTGATTTTTGCAAGTGTAACAGAGAAGGCAGCGGCACTGTGGTCTTTCTAAAGGATGTAGTATTTTTGTGGTGATGGATCATGGAAAAAGCAACAACTTAGGAAGGAAAAAGCGTAGTAAAGTCATGCTTCTGCTGCTTTTATTCCACTCTGCATTAAATCATTATATAGAGCAGTAGGACTTATTCAGAAGAAGGCAGAAGAGGTTGTGTTTCCTTGGAGAGAAAGTGACTATGACCAAAAACACACTTAGAAAAAAATATAGTGTATTTCTGAAATGCAGCATTCCATCAGCATCAGGAACAAACAATAAGAAAAACAAATTAGAAAGAGGAGAAGCAGGAGGGAAAGAAAAAAGCTTGGTTACCTGAATATATTGAAAGAGATGCAGACTTTCATTCGCATTCTGGGTAAGGTGACATTTGAGTGATACTTGGCCTTAATTCAGTACGTCAGCCTCAGAAGCTATGGTAAATAGTACCATGAAAGTACCCATTGGATGCACTTACCTAGCTGGAGCATAGGAGTTTTTATTTCTCCTGAAGGGCTTTTCTTCTATAAAATTCAAAGATATAGGAAAGAAATCAGCAGTTTTTCAGACGATGCAGTGGGGGGTCTTGAGTGAGATTCCCCAGCAGTTCAGTGGTGAGATGTGGGAGCAGAAGCCAGTTTGTCTCAGTCCAGGGTCAGGTTGGTGAGGACTTGGTGGAACAATCACAGCTAAATGTTACTTGGGGTTTTCCAGCACTCTGTTGGCTGATAGCTTTTCCATGATCACAGAAACTAAAGACTGAGGAACCTAAGACCTACAGTGGAGGATATTTTCTATTACAGCCCAGTTCAAGATCATTATATTTTCTTCAAAGCATTCTCTTACTTCTCTGATACTGAACAAATCTTATTCTAAGCTATAAATCAGTGCTAAAATATTTTATCTTTCAGTGCTGGTCATATGAAATCAAACTAAATCACAGCTGAGTTAAGGCAGGAGGAATGTGCACATGCTCCACCGGGATCAAATCCTCCTTTCACGCTTATTGCAATTACGAATTATCAGCCACACGTTCAAGAGCCCCATCCTAAATGCCAGCAAAGCTCTTCTCTCACCTACAGCCTCTGCCTTAGTCTCTCTCCATGCTCCTTTCCATTGCAGCTTTCAGCATCTTGCTTTGCTTCCTTCTTTCCCTCTTTCTCATTTCACCTTTTCTTTTGTGGCATTCTCTATTTTTAAAACAACCTCTCACTTTCAAGCCAACAATATCCTGAAAATAAATTGCCCTTTTGTAGTGTCTTACATTAGCTTCCTACATTAACAATATTTCAGTTGTTTTAATCCATATTCCAATATATTTATTGTGAAGATTTTAGAGAATAATTGTGAAATTAGTTTGTTGTGAGTACTGTGTTCACTTAGTGAGCTCACTGAGATTATTTACAGAACAAAGTGTTATTTTGCATGAGTTGGGTGAGAGATCTAGTCCCGAATTAAGAAGTGTGTATGAGGAACCATGAATTTCACTGTTGAATAGTGGAAGTGAAGAGGCCTAAGAGATTAGATCAGCCTCTGAATAAAAACAGCAAAAATATCCAAAGCAATGAAATAACTTAAAAGCAGTTATGAAATTTTTTTACTTCCCTCAGCTATTTAAGGACAGATTCAAAAAGGATATTTTCAGAGGCACACATGGTAGATTTTCAGTGAAAATTAACAGAACAAATTCCAAAGTCATTCTTGCAAATGGAGTCTGACTTCATTATCAAGCACCTTTCAAATTTTTCCCAATCTAACACAGGAAGCCTAAGCTTCCCCTGTGGTTCTAAACCACTTTATTTATTTTGAGGCCTAGTAAACGAATAAACATTTCTGTGCTTAAGTGTTTAAACTTTCATTAGCTCAGATCTGAAATGTAATAGAGTCATTATTAACAATTCAGTAGAATTTTATGTAGTATATTTTATTTCATGCTGTGACTAAGAGCATTGAAATTTTTCAATACTTTATCCAAGACAAATCATATTTTAAGAAAAAAACCTCCACTCCCCTCTATTCCCTTTTACTTTATTCATTAGATTTTTCTGATTAAAAACTCCAGCTTTAGCACTACTGTTAAACCTAGACCAGCCCACAGATGCAGAAAACCACTCTTGCAGAAATGAGGAATGAGCTCTTTCATTACAAATAAGAAGGAAATTATCTGAGTGTGAAAAGCCAAATCTTCATTACTGATCAGCCTTGAAGTGGAAGAAAACTATGGTCATTTAAGATTTAAACTTTTGCTACAAATATGTACATATGAAAAGATGTCTCATGGTATTACAGGAAAGGAAGAGCTGGAATTGTTTGGCAGAGTGCAGTCCTACGTATCAAATCAGGTCGCCAATAAATTGCTGCTTTAAGTGTGAATTCATAGCAGGACCTTCTTGACTTTGGAAGTGTTTGAGCTCGTTGGAAAATACTTTGAGAAGAGGTGCCTCAATTCAGCTTCAGTGAGGGCTTTTTAGCCTGTGGGTATTGTTCAGTTTGTAGGTCTTGGGAAGAATTTTCCTTTTTTTGTTGTCTTTACATTGTATACGCAACCCAGTATATAACATTGACTGCTGCAAAGGCTGCTGGGAACACAGCTCTGGCGTAAATGTCAATGGTGTCAGCATCAATGGGCTTAAAGAGGGACTTCAGGCCAGTCTTTTTGTCCAGTTTCATTCCCTGCTGCTGTTTTGTTTCTCCAGTTTCTATTTCTATTGTGCCATATGATCCAGGCAGGCTTCTGGGAATTCGGTGCTGCCTGTTGGAAATGGCCAGATCCTGGCTCACACCAGCTATGGAGAGGGAAAACAGAACAATGGCATTCTTCACGTTGATCTGCAAAGGAAAGAGGAGAATAATGGCAATTTATAGGGCAAGGACAGTGTCATTTATCCAAGCTATCCATGGCACCAGCATGGTGAAACACCCCTGGAATCCATATGTGGTGAATGGGATTTAACCCCTGCTTTGGCAGAACTCATGGAAAACTCTGTGCTACCACATAAAATTCTGGCTATGGCTTTACATGTTCTGAATTGCTGAGGCACCAACGAGAGCATTCTCAACGCCTTTCTTAGGAAGAATTTGTAGTAAAAGGTCATGAAGCAGGATGATTGCTTTGGCAAAGTTATTCCCAGTATCACACTTACTGACCTCTGCACTCTGCCTTCTCGCCTTTATCTTGTTCTTCTGCTTTTTCATGTAGTCAGCATTGAAATGTGCAAAGGCATATTCCACCAGTGCAGCAAAGACAAACACGTAGCAGATCCAGAAGTAAACGTCCAGTGCCTTGATGGCAGAGGCTCGTGGGAGCGAGGATCGGGCACTGACCATCAGAGTGGTCATTGTAAGAACAGTGGTGATACCTGCGGTAGCATGAGAGAGAAATAGATGCACTAATATACATAAATATATTTATTAATATGAGGCTGAGGATTATTTTCACAGTAAAAGCCCCTTACTACTATGGCTTCTGATTTTCAAAACAGGGGAACTTAAAAAAAACTGCATTTGTATGACTAAGGCAGATTTGAACAAGTTATGCTTGGTTTTGTCCTAGATCAGGAGAAACAAAACCCAAAGAATTAACTCTCAAAGACTTTTACACCTGGACTAGCAACCCTTAGTCAGACCAACAGACCCACAAGCTGCTGGAACATTTTTTTGTCACTATCCCAGGTCCTTCAAATAAATTCTTTCATTTCTTTCACAGTCATTACTGCTTTTAACCCTCCTTAGGTGGTTATTTGCTGTTCCTTCCTGAGGCAGCTGCTCTGATAACAGGACAGAAATTAAACCAGGAGAGAAATCTTTCAAAGGACCCTCCCTTCTGCAAATGTAAATGCAGTGGTCATAAATGCACCCTCATGAGGATTATCAGAGAGCACAATTCCCACTGGAGCACTCCCCTCCCCGTGAGCCCCCAAGCCATCTGTTTTACCTAATGACACCCTGGCAGGCACAGCTGACTGGCTGATCCAGAAGGACACCCACGACATGGCCACCAGTAGGATGGAAGGGACATAAGACTGGATGATGTAAACTCCTCGGTTTCGCCGAAGGTGGAAGTGGAGACTGAGCCTGGGAAACTGACCTGCTGGAAAAGAGAGCAGGCAGAAGAGATTCTGGCTGCGTGAATTACAGTTAGATTGATGTTAAAAATGACATTTCCTGTAATAGACAGAGCTACACTCTTTAGCATCTTCTGCACAAGGGTCACAAAAAGCTTTTCTGAATGCTGATCTATTGATGCTTCATAAACCCTGCACGAGGTACTGCAGCTTTCATCAGCTAAGAATAGGTCAAATGATTCGTCTCAGGTCATATCAATGCCAGATCTGAAAATAAAATCATGACTCTTCTCAAATAACAGTATTGCTTCAAAATGTGTACTGTCTTATCATCTGCTGTAGAAAGTCCTCCAGATACTAAATTTAGATTTTTTAAAAGGCCAAGTTAATTTCAAACTCAAAAAAGAGCTTAGAGGAGATGTGCAGCATAAATGAGAATCTGAATACATGAAAGAGGATGAAAAATCAGCAGGAAAGAAATGACTCCAATCTTGTACAAACATTGCAGTAAGCCCGGTGATAGACATACACACCACTGACTTCTACGGGGTAGAATTAGACTGATCTGACTGTACGTCATAAGCTCCACAACATCAGGCCTAATGGAAATTTTTCTTGATCTGAAGTTGCAAATTAGGTCAAGAAAATGTGAGCTATACCTCAAGTGCTTTTTATCAAGCGCTGTCTGGCTATTACACACAGTATTTTGTCAAGCAGAGAGAGCTAAAGGATAGAACATGCTACGGTGCCTACTTAGAGGCTCAGTAAAGAATGGCACTTCTTACAAGTGGAAGATGAAGGAAACTCTTATCAGAAACCTGGCAAGTTCTTAAATTAGTTACTTAAGAAGAAGGATTTTCTATTATAGATAGAGGAGGTTTCTCTCTGCGGGAAAAAGTCAAATACTATCCCTGAACTGAAGAAAGATTCTGTTACCAGATTTGAAGTTCATAATTTCTGTTGTGAACTGGTAATTGGTAATTGTGAATTGAGCAAGCTGCAGCTTATCCAGCCCATGGATCTCCTCCTGGTTTTCTGACCAGTGGTAGACAATGTCCTCTGAAGAGTAGCCATCTGCCAAAAGAAAACTGAATAAACACAAAGTTCAAGGGAGAGATTCAGAGCTTAGAGAATTCATAGTAGAAGTTCTCTAATTCCTCTACTATGCTGATTTCCACCAGACACGTTGCAAACATGCTGAGATTCAATCTGGATAATTCCCTCTGCTTGGGAGAGGTGCAGAGCACCAGGGCCGTGGCAGAAAGGGAGGATATGAATGATAGGATTTATGTACTATGCAAACCCACAGGAAATCAATCTTTCCTAGCTTTGCTGTTCATTGACAACTTGCTACTAAAGCATCCATTTGTTTAAAGAGACTTTATTTCAGTTTGTTTCACTGAAATGAAAACCCTCAAATTCAATTAAAACCTTCAACCCCCACCTAAACTCCCTGCAGAACTCGCTAGGAGAGGGAATGAATTGCTGGGGCACTGTCTGCTGCCTCTGCATTTGGTGATTATGTAAGTAAAACTGTAGATTGCTATTTTTGACAGGATAGGATGGTATTGTGGTTAACAGCCTAGAAAACAAAGTCAGTAACAAAAAAGAAAATGAGAAACTTGCATCAACAGGCCAAGGGACCTGCTCAGGATCTGCTATTCCCAGATCTCTGCAACCCTCAGGACCTGTAGGCTCCTTGATCTAAAAACCAGATTCATTTTCCCTGACTGGGTGGTCCCTGCTTGTGTCAGTGGTGATTTTCATTCAGAAGTATTAATGTTCATGGGAATTACATGCTGATCATAGATTAAATACAAGTTGGATAAAATATAAATCCATTCTTCACCCTCCTTTGTGAGTACAAATGAATTAAGCCCATCCATGCAGTATTCTGATGGATTTCTGTGTAACAGATACATGAATGCCAAGGCAAGTTAAAGAGCTATGTGAAGGTTAGTCACAATGGCATTCATTAAAAGCAGGGAATTCTTTCTTTTTCCTATTTTCTCATAAATTAAAAATAGCACATCTCATTTTGCCTGTGGGCTTTTCTACTTGTTCTCACTGGATTTGATACAAACCTCAGTAATGCCAGTGACTGTCACAACTGCGCAAGGTTTCACATGAAGCACAAAGTTCCAGACATTTTTCAGCAGGACTGTACATTGTTTGTCATCCCTAAATCAAATCCTAGAGATTTGGATTGGAATGGGGTTGAACTGGTATTGAAAATCCACAGTCTAATGCCCAACACAGGGAATGAAGAGGTTTCTGCTCACTCTAAACCCCAAGGCACCCCTTACATTCCACTGACTAAAGCAGAATCATCCCAGTCAAATGCAGCTATCTTAGTATCTTGTATGCAGGCTTTACACAAAACACAGAGGTACCCAGCTCTTACAGCTCTCCAAATCCAACATGCATTCCTGCTCATCCATTGGGTACTTGGAAAGGTCCATGTCACAGGCCACTGTTGAGGTAATCCTGTTTGGAGCAACATGAACACCAGTTAGTTACATTCACACAAAGCCTTTTCCTCAGAACTCAAAAGACTGAGTGGAGAACTTTGAAACCTTAATACTAACAAAGGAAACTGTTTTCAAAGTCCTGCTGGCTGCTGCCTGAGTCTGTGGGAAACCCAGAGGCTGAGGGAATTGAAAAAAGGTCAAATTACTCCTCTAACGTCAGAGGATCCTGCAGCTACTGACAATAATAAAAAGGAATTTTCTCATTCAAACTCCTCCCTTTCACTGTCCCCAAGATCACTACAAATACCTTAAGGGGGACTTTGGATTACAGTTTCAAAGGTGCACATTCATTATTTTTCAGAACATTATACAATTAACTGTCAGTATAGTTCCTGAGTTCCAGCCACAGCCCTCTTCCAAAGTGAGAAATGCTATTTTGTCTGTGTGAAAGATGGGGAGGCTGAGCCTTAATCAGGCTCACAGTTCCCTTGGAAAATAGTGAGAGAGTGGAGAACAGAATCTTTTCTCTGTATTCAGCACTTCCTTGCCTAGTGACAAAAGCCATGAGAGGTTTCTCTCCCATTGAGGGCATTCTGGACATGATCAGTGACTGTGCAGTGCAAAATGTGCTAGTGCTGCTAAAGAGACCTTCCTGACTTCTCATAAAGAAAAGGATAAGGGGATAGGAGCTTTTCTTCAATCTTAAACTAGTAACTATTTTAGGAAATCCTCCTAGGAATGCTGAGTGATTATAGAACGTTCAAAAAGCTAACACACAACAGAGAACACTTGTACTGTTTGTCACTCACCTGATGCTGTATAAAATGACTCCATCTGGCTGGAGCCTGATAAGTTTGTTTTCCACAGTCACATCATGGAACCAGGCAGACTTGGCATTGACTATGAAAGTATCTGGCAACCAGAGCTTGTCCACAAACCTGCTGTCCAAGCCCAGAGTTTCGTTGGTGTGGTTGTAAGACAGACGATCGTCTCTCCAGCTCTGGTGCAAAAATACTGTCATGGTGTATTCCTGTGACAAGAGAAATCCTAATTAAGAAGTGATGCTGACAATGATCATGTCTTGGAACTTAGCCAGAATTCAATGTCTTAGCCTAGAAATATATTATTTGCTTTCAGTGCAAATACATATTTTTATACTTAGTCAGCCAGGGAGCTGCCCAGGCATTTGTATTTTGGTCATATGCTCCTACTATGGATAAGCACAAGATGTAAAAAAACTGATTCAATATCAATGTTATGCATAACACATTGCAAGAGTTGCATAGGTCTTGATGAAGAAAATCAGTTTACACAGCTCAACAAATACAGCTTCTGGTTTTGAACCTTCATTTTTTTTAAAGCAAAACTAAAATATCTGATACTGTACCATGTTCACTTCTGAGATGTGGTCAATGCTGGCTACTTCGATTGCCAGAGCAACATTAACGGGAGGACCTGGGAAAAAACATTTGAATGGGGTGATTTATATCATCATAGTACCCACAAAAGTATCAATGACCCCAGACTGTTAATTCTTTAATCAGTTCACTGAAGTGTTTTCCATTATAAAGTACATTCTTAAAGCAAGAGTTTTAAATCTTTTACCGTTTGTGTCCTCAATTTCCAACAGCACATCTCACTTGAGTGATAAGAGACACAAGATAAAATCACAACAAAAATCATAGACTCCTCTCTGGAAATCACATTATCAAGTTTAAGACAGTATGACTTCAAGCAGATGCAGAAATTATCACCATTTAATGAAATACAAAATTCCTTCAACTTAGATGTCAACAATTTAAGAACTGTATCAGAAGCCTGTGTTGCTGTTGAGCAGTCTGTCTCTTGTCAAAATCAAGCAAAATGTTGATTGTTATTTTTTTCCAGCATCCAAGTAAAAGATAATCACAACTTTTTAATTATTTAAAGTATGAATTTCACATAAACATCAGAAGGATTGTAAGAACCAAAGATACATTATTCACTCTCCAAGTCTCACCTCCAATCCCAGGCCTGAAATTTCGTGCGTACCCTTTCATCAAATCATCCAGGTTGGGCAACCAGGAGATTTCAATGTTGGAACCTATGTAATCTCCGATGTCACTCATAGCTCTGGGTAAAGAGAATAAGTATCTTAAAATTTCCCGTGTTTACAAACAGAAGAATGACAGCAAATGGAAGTTATTGACTTATTTTACACCAGAGACCACCTACAGTAGAATCAGCTATACTGGAGATTTTTATAGGTAGGAAAACCATTTCAGCTACTTCTGTTTAAATCAAAACAAATTTCAGGCAATACTGTGGCATCTTTAAGTACAAGCACATACTTTTTAAAGTTTCTTTCTTTCTAAAAAAAGGAGGAAGAATAGATTTAGAAACAGAAAAAGCATGAGGGAAACGAAGATACTTTGTATACTGCCTAAAATGCATCTGTGAACCCTGAAATGCAGCTGTGACAGCTTCTTACTATGGAACAGCTGAGATCAAGAAGGCTGGTGCATTGTCAAATGTGACAGGAAAACAGGAAAAGCTGCACATCTGGAATTTGGATAGCAAGCAGCAGGTTTTGGTTGGGAGAAGATGTGTTGCTGTGGGATTTGTGCTCATGGCACAGCCCCTCCCAGCAATCAGGCTCCCTTGCCAGGCCAGTGATGCTCCTTGAAGACTTCAGCCCAGGATCTGGTTGCCATTTGCCAGCCCCTGGCAGCAGCCAGCCCCTCAGTCCTGGCACAAGCAATGGTGTGGATATTCCACCATCTCTTACAAACAAAGGCAAGGCTGCGTTATCTTCATTATCTGTTAAACCTGGCAGGCTCCAGTTGAAGATCTGTGCCTGTTCACTTCTTTCCTCTCACTGCACTGTGAGTGACAGGGCAGGAAGAGATAAATGAGGGGCTGGGACAATGTCTGACACCACCATTTGCAAAAAGAAGACTTGCCAGTGGTTTGAGAAGGGCCTGTGACTGAATGCAAGTACTGGATCAAAGCTGCCTAAGCACTGGTTTAGCATCTTCCACTGAGCCCAGCTATAAATGTGCCATTTGAGAGGTACCTATGACTTGTAACATAATCGATGGTTGAATATCCACGGAAGGCTGCAAACACGTTCTGTCTTGGTACTTACATAACTTTCTTAGAGTGTTCATGTGACATTGACCCACATAAAGCACATGGTTTTTCTCTCCAAAATATGCCAGCCTGGGCATTCAGCTCAGCATGAGCAGTTATTGCCAGCACAGGAACAGGGTATCCTGCAATAACCAACTCTTCTCACAGGAGCCTGAAAGAAAAACCCTTGATTGCCCTGGTCTTAAAATTCTTGTCTGGACTCAATTATATAAGGAAGGAGTTCTGGGATTACAATGTGTAAATGTAAGTTTTGAGCAGCACAGACACTGAAGTCTTGCATTAGCAGAGCTGTCAAAGCTTCTGTGACCTCCCAGCACAGGGACACTGCTCCAAGTGCAACTTCGTTAGTTCCCAGCAAAATGTGATGTTAAACTGCATTTATAAGATTTCCTTGCCATGAGCACACTGCTGTATGTTCATCTCAAATTACTATCCCAGCTATTTCTCAGGTCACTCTGTCTCTTCTGAGGAAGTATCTTGGAACACTCCAAGATGTGTTTTCAGCTACATAAATTGGAATAACATAATTGATTTAGACAAGGGCTTTGAAGATTTATAACAGATGTCGACAGAGGTTTTTTCCTTCTTTATTGGGTCTCATCAACTATAACAACACTTCTTTCTATCAGACTGCTGGTCTTTCAGTCATCCAGCCATCATTATTAACTTCAATGAAATTATAACTTTATAATAAGTTTGTTTAAAAACATACTTATTTGCAATTCACAAGTCCCAGACATAGACATGGAAAGGTGTTTCTAATCAGTAAAATGCCAGAGGTCCTTTTCTATGTAAAGAATGGTACTCTATGTCTTTTCCTAATTAAATAGCTACAATACACTTGAATGAATAGATCTGCTGAAAATCTCTTTGACTTCTCAGTAGAAGGTGATGCTTTTCATCTTCTGTTGCTAAAGCAGCAACCAAGTTCAGTAAAATGTTTTGAAAACAGAATTCAAGTCAGAAGGTGACAGCACTGTAGTGATGTATCCCATGTGCTGATCATGTTTTGACAAAGCACTTGAGTTCAGCTGTTCTCCTGTGTCAGGATTCTATTTTAATGGCATTAAGGAAAGCCGTGGAGCTCAAAGGAAGTTAAAATGATGAGAGTTGGGTTAAAGACTGAGGGCTATAGCCTGCCATGTGTTTTAAGCAGATTACAATCTAGAGGGAGTTTTACTTAAATATCCATGACACAATTAAAATAAATCTTGTTTCTATTATTAATAAAGCCTTAGGGTCAGATCATCAGTGTAACAAATGTGCTGGAGTTAGTAGAGCTATATGCACTTAATACCAGGGGGGTTATTAAAATACTACAGCTGAAATAATTTTATGGCTTGGGGCATTTGGTGAAAACTCCTTTGAGTCATTCCTCTAGACATCTACACATCATATCCAGTGCTTTAAAGTTACAAGAAGAATGGTGGGAGAATTTCCTTCATCCTTGATAAGCAGTTGGGATTATATATGGCCTAAAATATTATTCATTATTGTTCCTGAAAAAGGAAGACCAGCATAGAAAAGATGCATTGGAAGGGATTAACTTTTCATAGTGTAAGCAGTAAGGATGAAAAGAAAGGCAACTAGTATTAATTGATTCAGCAACTTCACTTCCCAGTATGAGCTGCTGTAAAGCTTATTTCAGTAAGAGAAAGGACTCTGTAAAATCAAGATATCGATTTGTCAAATCCAAGGAGTAAAAGAGCTCCTGAAAAGCTTCTCGTCAGTTTGCACCAAGCCAGTGTGGAGGTCCTCTGGCTGAATGGCAACAATCCTGGGGATTTCTATCCCTCTGGAAGTCACTCCCAAAGGTAAAGCTGAAGAAGATGATCCACACTCTGACTCTATGCAATTCATTTCAAGCAGGTATTTTTGAGAATATATTTGCATCTATCCCTATCTGGAGCATTGGGAGAACTTCAGCTGAGCTCATTGAAAATAGATGCTGCTGTCTAAACCATGAAATCAATAGTGAGTTCTCCTGCATAGACAAAGGGAAAGGAAATCCCCATTGATAAACTGCACAAACCTGTGGAGTTCCTCTCTCCCTAATATTGACACTGGTTAGGGAAAGCAATTCCAAGCAATGAATGTCACATGACAGAGAAAAGAAAAGTCTCTTTCAGAGCTATGTACTAGCAGTTCTAGAATGAAAAGTACACATATCCCAAAATCCTTCCTATCCAAGCTGACACCTCCCTCCCAGCTGCTGCAGGACCAGGACATCCTACTAATGTGGAGCGATCTGGGGGAAAAACATCAAAGAACTCGGACACCACATCTTTAAAGAGCTTGTCAGAAAAGTGAGGCATTAGCCTGTCTTTGCTCCCTTCCAGAACACTGCTTGAAAACACTTGCTAGAAGTTTATCAATATTACTAGAAAATATCTGGTATTTAAATCACACCAAAGTAAGAGGCAATCTGTAAGTTCCATGTGAACGAGAGCACAACAGCGGCTGAGCAAGGGATAGTATTAGCAATTTCATTTTTGCCCTGCAGTGCCAAAATCTCCAGGATCAGTGCTCAAAAGCTCAGAATCTTTAAGTCAGTGGCCAGTGGGACACTGATTTGAGGCTACACTGGTCAGGAGAGTGCACTGATCTTCTGAAAAATTCACAGAGCAGCAAGGTGATGAAAATCATCTTTTGCTTCTTCTTTAGATCTGCTAACCTGATTCTCTTGGGGATTGTAACATTGTTGTTATATGAATCTTTTAACCTGGTGGATGGAAAAAACACTTTGGCTGGAGGACTGCGATCAGTATATTTCATTTTGAAAAGCATTTGGGACAGATGTCCCAGATGTCATCACCACTGAAGAAAACTTTTTCTTGGGAAAAAGACAGGGAATATCCTGCAAGGTCAGTGAACAATCTGACCTCTGCCAAACTCCAGGATTATCCAGAGCAGTATGTATATCCTTCCCATCTGCCATTCCTGACTCTAAAGGAAGCTCACTGTAAATATGTTTTGTATTTTGAAATGTAATTGAAAAAGCATTAGGCTTAATTCATGGCAACCTTTAGAACATCAAAGCCTCTCTGGCAGTTTTAAGCTACAGAAAATGGACCACTCTTTGCATACATTCACGTGTTAAAGCTGCTCTGTTTCCACGAATAGAAGTAAAAGGCTTAGGGAGATACACAGCAGAATGACAATTAAATGCAGGAGTATAAAAGTCACTGCACAGAGCCAAAACTTAAATATTAAATATACACCTATTCTAATTAGAGAATTAAAATCTCTTGCAGTGAGAAATTACAAAGCACAGACACATACCCCAAAACTCCTTTCAGATGTGCTCTTTCCCCACACAAATGAAGAAATATTTCCCCAAACATCTCTCTGCAGATGATCTCATTCACTGTGGCACATTTATTATTGCAGCATCCACAGCATCTCATACCCTGATAAAATAGTGGAAGCCACAGTCTTTGTGCTGAAGACCTTTCAATTATTTGAATGCCAAATTCCTTGCCACTAATCACTGTCTTGAGCAGACCAAAACCCACTATTTTAAAAAAAAAGTTTACCTGACAAAAATGTGCTGACTTAGTTTGAATTTGGCTCATTCACTTCAGACAAATAACACACATGACAGAGAAATTGCTTTACGCACAGCTAAAGCACCCCAGAAGGGTGTTCAGAAATGCTCTGAGGAAGCAGCCTGCATACATCCCCCACTCCCCCCCTCTGACAAACCATAACATTATTTTCACTGCTTTTGGGAAGTCTTTTGTCTCTTTTGTCTTACTGGTGAATTTAAAAATCACCAAAACATTCTTCCTTTTTGGAATATGTGGTTTTTTCAATATACAGTGCACAGAACTCAGGAGCAGAGAATTTAGGGGTATTGGATGGCCTCGATCATCAAAATTCTGAATCACACTGCATTTAGAAAACAAAATCAGGGATTTAAAATGGAGCCATTGGCAGTTTTGCCCATTAATATGCTGCTATTCATAAAAGCATCTCAAACATCTCGTACCAAAAATATTTTTACTAATGCAAGGATAAAATTTCATTTTAGTTCTGTTCAACTGATCCAAAGTACACATGCAAGCAAGGCTACTCCCTTTTTACAAGATTAAACACTCTAAATCCTGAATCCAAACAGAGAAGCTCTCCTTGACCATGGAACGTCTCACACTTTGAAATATTTGGAAGACTACAACCTGAACAGTGGGAATTTAAGAAGTTAGAATTTCCCTTGCCTGAGTCTGCCACGAGTGGATGTATTCCTACCAAACAATTCATCACTATTGTGTAACTGAAGAAAGAAAGTCAATTAGGGAATTAATAATAAAATAAATAACGTATCCAACAAACACATATCCTGGCAGTTGCTGTGTCTAGGAGCAAACCTTGGAGACAGAGGCAGAGAAGACTGACTTTCCTCAAAATCCTCTCTTTTTTTGGTCTTACATACTCAAACATCACTTTTCAACCCCAAGCTTCCATGGTAGCCCAGTTGCAGAGGGAGAAACAGAACATTGAAATGATGGGCAAGATCTTGGTGTCCTTAGGTAATAAGCAGTATTTCCTCTGCCTTCCCTGTAACACTGGATTGCTTCAGAGTCTGAGGATGTCAGGATCTGACCCTGGATAACAGATTCAAGGTCACAGGATAAATCATTCTGTCAATCCTGACTAAGAGCAGTTGACTTGACACTTTCTCTGAGCAAGACTTTTTTCTTTGCCAGTGAAAAAAATCAGATCTCCCTGATTAATTCCAAAACATGTAACAACAATGTTGTTTTACTATAGTTCCCACTTTTCCACTCCTCTGAAGCTATTAAGGATGTCTATGAAGCAGAAGACATAGGACCCCCTTTAATGCCACAACCACCCCTGCTCTGGGGGGTGTAGGCATGTTTTTACATGCAGCAAGTTCTTTTTTACTCCCCCCTCTATTTTCATTGCGTAATCATGGCAAGCTTTCTCCACATCCAGCCTCCAGATCTGGAGAGAATAAGAATATACCGAGACCGTCGCTGGTTGCCTAGCTAACACCTTCGGAGGGAATGTGACTGAGAGCTGCAAATATACATCTTTCTTTAAAATTTATTATTTTAAAAAATGGTTTGCATGCTCCAATTTTTTTTCCCCCTAAGATATCTGACAGTCTTTTCCTGCTAACCTAAGTTCAGGAGACTTGCTGAACTCATTAGAAATGGATGGTTGTATTTTGGGGTTTTAATGGCACATGTGGAGGCCCTAAGCAAAGCTATTCAGCTCATACCCCACTGGTTGTGCTGGGGTTTATGGAAGAGTTTCATGTTCAAGCAGGCCCCTCCCGAGCTGCTGGAGGGGCTGAGGCTGATCTGGGATATTGCAGTGCCTTCCAAAAAGTGATTGTCCCCAGTTTAGAGTAAGTGCCCTCAGGAAAAAGCCTCTAGGAGCATGGTGTTAAAAACACAGCCCTTGACTAAGCCAAGAAACTGCTGCTCAACTGGCAGAAGTGCATTCTCAGCTAGGGAATGAAGAAAGAAAAAACTGAAACAGATGAGGCACATTAAGGAAACTCTTCAGTCAAGGGCCCTTTTTCTCCTGAACACTCACTCAAAGCAGTCATGGCCCGTAAGTGCAGAAAGCATCCCTGGGCAAAAGTGGCATCACTCACTCCAGCTACCCCGAGAGAACGGCTGCCCGAGGCCAGTCTAAGAAAGAATGATAAGATGTTTTCTTACCTGATACACCTGTGCTGTTGGGTGCACAGTAGAATCAAGGCAGGAAAAACCCAGGTAAGAAATTCCATTTTACTCCCATTTATTAGACAGCAGCGACCAAAACCCAGGTTCCCCGGCTCTCCTGGCAGCTCCAAAGCTCCAGTGGCTTTGCCATTCTTGCCTGCTGCGCTAAGTTGAGGCTGAGTTTAAAGCGATGGATGGTTGCTCAGCAGCAGCAGCCCCCACAATCTCCACAGTGCCCGGGAGCCATGCAGGCAGCCCGGCACGGGAGCAGGGAGCAGGGCAGCTCTTCTCTGCTCTCCTCTCTTCTCTTTCCCTCTCCTCCTCTCCTCTGCGGGTGGCTCAGTCCCGCCCGGCTCCGCTGCCCTGCTCCCGCATCCCTCCCCTGCCGCGGGCTCTTCCTCCGGCCGCTCTGCCCGCCTGCGAGGCTGCTTGCCGAAAATAACCTCCAAAAGGATAGATTAATCCCACGGAGCGGGGTGGGAGCGACTCAAAGTGCTCCGGAGCCACTAATGTCCTGCGCGCATCGTGCCGGGGAGGAGCTGCAGCCCGAGCCCGGGGCAGGGGCGGCCGGTCCCGGGGCGCTCGGGGGCGCGGAGCCGCTGTGCCCGCTCCGCACGGGGCATGTGAACCGCGGGCACCGCCGCCCCCCGCCGCCCCCCCGGCAAATCCCGGCGGCACCCGGGCACCGCAGCTGCAGCCCGGCTCCAGCATCGCTCCGAGCGCCCCGGCCATGGCAAATGCCGCCTCTCCGCTGGCTGCGCGCTGTCCCGACCCGGCCGTGCCACCGAGAGGGGCAGAGCCCGCAACACAAACTTCTGCCTCGCCGCTCTCGGGCTCCTGAGGGGCTTCTCTACAGTGAAACGCTCGGAGCAGTTCATTGCTCCATCTCGGGCTGCCATCGTCCAGCTTCCACCTCTTGTGCCTCGCGAACTCCCGGACCTCCGCCCGCTCCCGGACACCGCGGCTCCCGGCACGGGGCTCCTCGGGACCTCGGGCTCATCCTGACTTGCAGGTCAAACTCGGTTTTCTCCTCCATATTCGCTCTTTCCTTCTCTCCTCCTCCGCCTCCTCGGCTTTTTGGTGCTGTTCAATCTCGAATGACAATTTTAAAACCAACCCACAAAGGAAACACTGTGAAGGAGACATTTTTAAGAAATTATATCATAAAACAAAAATAATTGTGCAGGTACTTGAATCTAATGAAAGGAAGCAGCTGGGGTAAAGTGTTGGATTCATCTTTTTGTCTTCTTAGTTCTGTATTTTTATTTAGTACCAACATTTCAAATGACTACTGAGGGCTGGTGGGTGAGTGGAATAACAGTTCCATGAAATCCAGGGGAACAGATGTACACAACACACACACAAATGTAATACAACAAATACAGGCATGTCATAAACCTGTGATAATAACGTAAGAGGTTATTTTCTTTCTGATCTTTTCCTCTCTCTGCCCACCTCAATGGCAATCCTGCAGCTAACATCCAAAAACAAGGAAAATACACAAATTTTAACTCAAGGAGTCAGATTATTGCATTAATTCCTTTTTTTCTTTTAGGAGCTAAACTGAAAGATTTTTGATTGAATTTACCTGGTGACACACAGAACAGAATGGCTTTGTCTCTCCATATAACAGAACACATTCTCACCTTTTGGGATATTTTCAGTTGAGATTTTTTCATATTTTTACTACTCCTAAGGCTGATGGTGCTTTGGGCTACATATCTATGCTGAGAATTCCTCAGTGTTTTTCTCCTCTGGCTGGAGAGCTGTCACCTAATTTACTAGTAAAAAAGAACAGTTTTCTATATCTTCATCATATATCTGGAAAAATAGCCAAAAGTCCAGAGAGGCACTTTGTACATCTGGATTGTGTCTTAGTGGATTTTATGTGTGGATAACACATGTAAATGTGTGATGTGCGCATTTGTGTGTTGATTTAAGCACACCATGTTCTGAAAGGACAGACCTTGCTACAAAAGTGACCATTAACACAAGTAAAAATGCAATGGCAATCCTAAAAGACATGTGAAAGTTCTCTCAGATAAATAAACTGTATTTTATCTACAAGGGCCTTGATTATATCCTCATATTATAAAGAAGAAGGGCAAATGTTTGGTCATTCAGCCTTGGATTTAGTTGGTTTTGCATACAATACATACTTAAAATAGACTGGTACATATATATACATATATACCCTACCCACTCAAAGTAAGTAACTCATATTGCCAAAGGGAAGAGAGGAGATAAAGTAATAAAAATCAACAATACATTTAATTTCCTACATTTCTAGCTAAATATCCCAAACTCATTACAGTCAATGACAGATTAAAATTGCTAAGACATAGATTAAGAAACTATTAAAATTGCCATTAAAACATCAAAACAAAACAAAATAAATAAGCTCTGCAAATCTTTCTCATCTAATCCTCTTGAAAATAATTAAAGCTTTCCTTTAGCTTTAGCTACCGGCTGGGAACTGTCAAATAGTCTTAAAAAGATGGCCCACGATACTCAATGTTTCCTAAGCCTTTTTTTCTCTCTAACATCTGGACAATTTTATAATGACATTTAATCATTAATATTTATTAAATCATTAGTTGTTATTACTACTATATCAACAATTACTAATTCTTGAAGTATCCACCTTATTCAAGCACTAATAAAAGTCATAACTTTGATGTATATTTTACTACATTGAAGCCAGAAACCCACATTTCAGTATCTGGCAAGTGTTTTTCTTCTGGAACATATAACAGGTATGAATTTCCCCTGATCACAGTCATCCATACTTCTGTAACTGCTACCATACAATCATTTATTGGATAGTGTAATTTGATGGGATTGAGGAGAAGCATGCTCAGTGATTTGGGCCAAAAAACAAGTTTTCAGTCATTTATTACTCAGGATTTTGAGACTGTATCAAAAGGACATTATTTCAATTTATTTTACAGCTACACTGCATTACCTGGTATTCTTAATAGATCATTTTCTAAATACAACAGGTGGTTTTACTGCCAGAAAAATGAAGATATCATATTGTCACATACAATTTTAAGAGGCAAAAAATGTACCACAGGGATAATTAATCTCACCCTCCCATGATTCCACCTAAGCAGCTCATGAAAGACTGTTGTGGCAACATCGCCAAATGTCTCTTGATATATCAATTACACACATATGCCTATTTTTGTAAATGAGATTTGGGAATATCAGTAGCAATTGCATGGTGGGAATATTTAGCTTGTTTCAGAGGTTGTACAGTACTTGCACTCTATGAATGTCCCCCAGCCCCAAGACAAACATGTCTGTATTTAATCAGTATCTGGAGAACCACAATATTAATTTCCCTTTCACCGAAGTGCTAGGAATACAGTTTTTATCTGTTTCTAAATGTTCTGTAGAACATCTAGTTCCTCCCTCAATCTGCATACATTTTTTTATAATCATGAAGCACACTGCAGCCAGACACTTTGCCCTCCTTTTCTTTTCTTTATGCAACAGATTTGGGATGAAATTCCCCACTTTGCCCCCAAGCCAGGGCTAATTCCAGGACCAGGAGGACAGTTTTACCCCAAATGTGTTGCTCTCAGGGGAGCACTCCCAGCTGGTGCCACCCCAGGCCACTCCTCCATGGAGTGCTCTGATAGCAAATGCCCCTTCATTTTTTGTCCATACATCTGTAAGGATGAGTCATTGGGAAGATGCTCATCAATGTTTGCCATTATTTACAGTCCGACAAATCAATGTTTGCCATTGTTTACAGGCCAACATCGATCCCTATCAAACAACAAGGGCAGACAAGTTGTGTTATGTAATTGATATGAACCAGCCTGCCAAAATGCAGATTCCATTATTGGCATGTCTTCCTGCCTAAACGCCAGAACGCTCCATATATGAGCTCCTGTCACCTTGGAAACGTTCGGAAGGGAAATGCCAACTGCCTGTGGAAGCACAGGATGCAGCCACACAGCAGAGTGAACTGGCCAGCTCTGCTGCCTTTCCAGCTGATCCTGAGCTGCTACTGCAGGAACTTCACAGAATTCCTCTGAATTTTACCTCCTGGGAGCAAAGCAGCAGGGGTTTAATTTGGATCTGCTTACTCTGTTTCCTAGTTTCTGCAAGACAGATCACTGGGGTCCAGAGCCCACAAAATCTGGAAAAGCTGCATCAATCAAAGCCTTTTTTGTACATTTCCAGGAGCTTAAATCCTAAAGATTCACTGGCTTTAAGTTGATAGACATAAGTTGTAGATTGGGAGATAAGAACTTGGCTGGGGAGCCATAATTTCCTTCAGAGGAACTGCAGATATCTTCTCCCTTTCCTATCTATATGATAAAGAAAAATCTACATTGTCTTTCCCTAAAAACACATTATTCATCTGAGGCAAAATCGTGACCCTTGTTGATGTTGTTGTTATGAAAATAATTCAAACAGTTGTAAATTGGCACTGAAAAAATACCCTGAAGAAAAATATCACAAGAAACTGACAATCAGTGATATTTCCAGGTGTTCTTTTGAGTGTCTTCTTGAGGGGAAAATCCATGCTTGGATGTTTTTTATCCCAACTCAAGGAGAGTGGGAACTGGCAGGTTCAGAGTTAACACAGTTATAACTATTCCAGATCTGCAGAGAGAGCTATACAGTTAATCACTGCATATTTTTAGCCTACATCTTGTAGCTTTAATCCTGCAAATGTCTGTATGTAATTTGTTTTATGTAATATGAATAGATGCCATAAAATCAAGATTCCACCATTTATAGAGCTAAGAATGTCCATGTATTTCTCAAGATTGAGGACCTATAGTATAAATGTGGGCCAGTGAACTGGTCACTGTGAGTAATTTATACTCCATACTGTGTGGAGTATAAATACTGAGTGGAAATAAATGCTCAGATTAGCGGCATGTGCTCGTGTGCCTGGGATCAGAACCTAGACCCTACTCTCATAGCAACGATAACAATTACAGAAATATTGCTTACAATTAAGGAACGTTTTCAACTAAATAAATCTGAGAATGCATCTGTCTCTGTGTACAGATCAGGGTGTATTTTGGTGCAGATGATGTCTCAGTATTTTAATAACTGAATCCCTGGGAGTCTTTGAATAGCTGGGTTTCTCTAGCACGTCATCGAGGCCTAGTGCCAAGAGTGAGGGAACGGGGATCTGCCCTGCTGTGGATCCAGCTGCACTGCTCCTTGACTTTGTCAAGGTAACACAAGGAATGGAGCAGAAAGGAAACTCAGTTAATCCCCAATTTAGAGCTAAAATCACAGAATCATAGAATGGCCTGGGTTGGGAGGAACTCAAAGCTCACTCTGTGCTGCCCCCTGCCATGAGTGACCAGCTGTGTATGACCCACTATCCCAGTGGCTCCAAGCCATGTCCAACCTGGCCTTGGGCACTTCCAGGGATGGGACAGCCACAGCTTCTCTGGGTACCCTAAATCTGGTACCTGAACACTTGCACACCTCAAACACACAGGCTCAGGAGATTCCACTGCAGAACAGAATATTCAAACTGGTTCACTTAATGAACACAGACATTCACTATGTAAATCACTGAAATATCATCTAAAGACTTTTCATGTAGTGATTTTTGTGCATATTTATAACAATTACAGAAGTTCATATGGAATCTCTAGAGCTGCAGTTGCTGCTGAAGCCAGAGGACCCGTTCAGAATGTGACATAATAAATGGACACCATGGGCAGTACATGATTTCTGCTGTAATAGCCTTTAATTAGTAATTAATAGTAAAATCCTTTTGCTGGGATAGACTTACTTATGAAAAGACATTTAAGACAAATTCCTTTTGGATTAAAATTTGGAAACCTTCAGTATTCTAACATGTGTGCTCTAGCCCCAAACCCACAAGACTTCACATTGCAGCAAGTAATCTGAATTCACAAAAAGGGTTTTAATCATAATGCCACCAATGTGCTTAAAATTTATAAATGTATGTGAGTAAACACCAAGCTGAAAGTTCACTGAGAATATCTGGCTTTGGTTACCTGAAAGCACCTGAACCAGATGTCCCAGACAGGCAGCATAGGTAAAGGTGCTCCCACCAGGGTAATTACTCAGACTAATACAATGGAATTGTTAATGCTGCTGTATTTCCAAAGTGTAAATCATTCTTTTAAAGAACGTGCAAAAAGCTCACTCACTACCACACCCGGGCAGGAGCCATGTCAGTGGTTCATATTCTGATCTACCTCTGACAATAAATAATGTAAAAAATCATCAAGTAGGAAAACACCCCAGAGAGCGGCTCAAGATGGCTCAGACCTCTACAACTCAATGATCTGAACAACTGCGAGGACGCCAGGGACCCCGGCCCTCGGACACGGGACCCCGACCCAGGGACCCCGGCCCTCGGACACGGGACCCCGACCCAGGGACCCCGGCCCTCGGACACGGGACCCCGACCCAGGGACCCCGGACCCGGCCCTCGGACACCGGACACTGCCCCCGGCCCCCAGCCCATCCCGGCCCGCACCACCCCGCGGGCGGGGGTATCCAGCGCGGCTCGCCGGCAGCGCCGCCCCGCGCCCGCGGTGGTTCGGGGCCGGACGCCCCCGCGCGCGGTGGTTGGCGCCGTTGCCGTGGCAGCGCGGCGCGGCGGGCCCGAGGCCGTGCGGAGCCGGGCCGGGGCTGAGCGCGGTGAGCCGTGAGGGGACAGCGCCGGGGCACCGACACTGCCCCGGGGTGTCCTGTGGGAGGGCTCGGGGCGGCTGCCGCGCTGTGCATCTCGGCCCAATTCACCCCAAACTTTGGGAGTTGGGAGTTGGAGCCGCGCAACCTCACAACGCAGGGGTTTGGCTGAAGGCGTTGGGGCCGCTGCTGCACTGGCTGCTCGTTTGATGTTTGTGTTACTTAGTGCCGCCAACATCCCTAAATCGGTAGCCCAGCGTAGGAATCATACTTGGCTTTAAGGTTGTTCCTATCGTTTACTCATTCCTCCATATTTCAGATCCTGGGGTGTGTTTTCTCTGCTCCTTAACTGGAGAAAATAGATGCTCTCTTCTTGTTGATTCTTCTTGAGTTCTGCAAAAGGATTTACATAAACGCGCTCAAAGCTGAGCCACCTTCGTTAAAATTAATCATATGTCCAAGTTTTTCTGTGGGTAAGATGTGAAATGCTCAACCATGTGGTAATAACTCATTCTAGATGACATGCAGAATTTACTGAATTCTAATAAATTTTAACAACATTTGGGAACAGTTTGCTTTGCATTGGAGAGCTTCACAAGACTTAAGAACAAAGAGTGTTTGTTGGAGTTGTGCCAAAATCATTTGGGGTAAAGTCGTGGTGTAAGTGGATAAAATACATTCAGAAGGTTTGTTTTATTACTGAGCTGATTGTTATGTTAAAAAAAAAAAAGGCAAAAAGGCAGAGTCCTTGCTTTTCACTAAGAGATTTATTATAGTTGATACTCAAAATGTGTAACTAGCGCAGAGGTATATGGTTATATCCAGTTATTTCACATGCATTAAGTGTGTACTGAATGCTGTGAATTCAATTCCAGAGATAGCCACCACTATTGCAGGTTGTTGGATTTGGTGTGGCATTTGATGTGGAAAACATGTTCTTCTTTTTATTCAGCCTGGTCATTTGGAAAGAACTGTCAGCATGGAAGATCATGAGATCAGTTTTAGTAAGGGAGAACAGCAAATATCTCCTCTAGTGTTTCTAGAGGAGGAGGAAGAAAGACAAGAGGGAGAAGAAGAAAAAGAAGAGGAAAAAGAAGTAAGAGAAGAGGAAGAAGAAGTAAAAAGAGAAAAAGAAGAAAGACAAGAAGAAAGAGAAGAGGAAGAAGAAAAAAGAGAAAAAATAGAAGAAAGACTAGAACAAGAAGAAAGACAAGAAGAGGAAGAAGGAGAAAGACAAAAAGAGGAAGAAGGAGAAGAAAAGGAAGAAGAAAGACAAGAAGAGGAAGAAAGAGAAAGACAAAAAGAGGAAGAAGGAGAAGAAAAGGAAAAAGAAAGACAAGAAGAGGAAGGAAAAGAAGATGCAACTGGTCAGCTCCCTGACGTGGAAAAACACTGGGAAGGTGAAAATGAATTGTTTTGATAACTCACAAAAAACTGACATTAATGTAAACTTAATGTAAGATAAACATGTTAGATCATTGGCCAGAACCTGACAATACATTATCCTCCCTTGTCCCCCTCCCTGTTCTTGTTTGGGATTTTCCCACATAAATGGGATTCTTGGTGACACTTCCACATGAAGCCAGAGAACATTTCCTGTTCATTTGCAGGTATATAATAGTCCTGTGTGTTTTGCCATATGAATTTTTTAATGTACACTGCCGTAATGCTATAAAATGTCATGTCTAATTCTCCATGCTGTGACTTGACCACAAATATAGAAAGCTTTGCATTTTGAGTCCAAGTCTCTTTATTAAGCTGTTGTTTCAATATCTGCTAGAATATGAGCTGGAAGAAGAGCTGGATGATGGTGGCAAGATGGAAAACAAGGACACTTTTGAAGATGCTGGAGACCAGTCTGATTCTAGCACGTAAATACCTTGCTCCAGTTAAAACAGAATTTCCTCAGTGGTGCTGAGTGACCAGCTGTGTATGACATGTCTTGAACTAGTTTAAAATGTTCCTGTTTAAATTGTAAACTATTGTTTAGGAACACTAAAATTGCAAAGCTGAGGTGGGATCAAGAGGAGCCCCAGGCATTTTAAAACAAGCACACATCATTAGTGCTTTAAATGAGGGTATAAATGTTCAAAATTAGATATCCAATACTGAAAATCCTGGCTTAAATCCATGCATGCAAACTTCCTGTCCTGTTTGTGTTCACGTTCTTCCTTATTTATAATGGTCTTATTTATAACAGTTCTGCTAGAATAAAACAGAAAGCAGGGATGTGAGGATGTCAGACAAACTTCACATAACTACAATTTCACATTGTTTCTTTGTTGGTTGTGTGTTCCAATTCAAAGGCAAAGCTCAGAACCCTCCTTGGGCAACATTGGCAACATTCAGCCTCTGAAGTCTGCAGACAGAATTTGCATATTAACCTCACAGAGAAACCTCCAATTGCTCGATGACATGGTCAGGGAAAAGGAACTGATGGTTCAAAAAACCAGGTTAGTGTTTAAGCAAACATAATCCATCAACACAAATCCCCAGCAAATACTGAGGTACTGTATCCATCATAAATACTAGAGTTTATAGAACTATGTATCTGACAGGAATCCTGGCTGTGAATCTTGCCCTCAAAAAGAAGACTTTCACTGGGAAGAGAAAAGAACCTACAAAACATAAATGATGTGTTTGTTTCTTGCAGTGACACGCTGAGTGCCTGTCGGCTGCGGAGCAAGATGCTGGCAAAGCAGCTGGATCATGTAGACATGGAAATAGAGAGAGAGGAGGAGGCTGGCAATGTGTAGGTAGAGAGTATTTCTGGATACCAAGGTTTACAGGCATCCACTATGTTCATCTGTGTGTAATTAATGAGATAAGAACAGAAAGAGGTGGAAACTTGGGAATGGGTAGGAAAGAGGCATATATTTTAAAGTGTAACAACAGGTACTAAATCAGCCTAGCCCACTGCTGTCAATTATGTCTGTCAGTGTCTCAATCTTCTATTCAGTCTGATGAATCAAGGTGCTGTGGCACTCATGGAGGTCATGGCTTTGTTTCTGGTGATTACTCAGTCATGATTTCTATAGATGTGTGTGTATATATTTTTATAAATACATATATACATGTGCCATTCTTTTCTTGTGTTGTTCTGGAATGCAGGAATGCCTTTCAGGAGTAGTTCTGCATACAGGAGCTGCTCTGAAACACTTGTGCTATCAAGTGGGAGGCAATTTACTGTACTCTTCACATTTGGTTTAAATAGAAAGCAGTGGGTGGCTTGTGTACCAGGAGCCAGAGGCTTGTGAACAAACTTCGCAGCTGCATTTCTAACCTGTGTTAATCCCCAGGTTAGAGAAGCGATGAATGAGAGAAAGGAAGGCAGGTTAGCTGCCAGAATGGGAGAGCTGCTTAAACAAAACTGATGAGCTGATGCAAATGAGTCTCCTGAGGTGGTGCAAGTGGGATCTCAGAGACAGTAACAAATCCCAGCAAAGACAGAAAAGCAGTGTAGTGTTTATCCTTATGATGGGTCACATGGAGAGGCCTAGATATGGAAAAAATAGCAATTCTCCCAATCTCTTATATTTAGCAAGTGACTAGTGGAGTGAGAAGGCTTGATAGATTTCTGGCTTATGAAGTTCAAAGTCTTTGTGTTTTAGCCATAATGCAAATCCTGGCTGCCATTAGCACTACCAATGCCAATAGCGAAATGTTGAATTTAAAGGAGTAGCTGCAGGTAGAAGATCCAATTTTCATTTAGAGGATGGGAGTTTATGGTGAGTATACTCAGGCCAGTGTCTGTGGATCTTGTAGCACACTGTCCGCTAGTTTTCCTGGGGAGAGAAGGAAAATAACTTTGTGGGAATGCTGCAGTTGTAGGCTAAGTGTATGGAATATTGTAGTACCGTTTTAAAAACAATATCAGTCTAGGTTCTCTAGGTTCACCTACACTTATCTTCATGAATAATACTACTTTTATCAGTTTGAGAAGTGAATAGTTGCATTAAGCTACTGGTCAGTGCTTTTGAAATTCTTATCTGTTCCTTTCAACTGGTGTGTAAGAGTTTAAAGAAAGCTCTGCCTCAAGACTGGACACTTAGAAGGTTAGACAAGAGGCTGCATAAATTGCTGGGATGCTGACGAATAAATCTGAGCCTTAAAGCTGTGCTTTATGCTTGCTGATCTTGCAAGGGGGGCTGTGTTCACATTTCTTTCTGCTGGGTTCTCTCTAACGTTGCCAGCGCAGCCGTGTCCCGCCTGCAGGCCGTGAGCAGCCGATTGTGCACTGAACTGGAGAGAGAGAAGGAGCTGGAGCTGAGACTTGCTCTGACACTAAAACAAAACTTGTAAGTGAGGGAATGAAGAAAGTGTGAAGGGAATCAATCTTTATTACATTCTTCATATGCTGTTGGATGGATTCAAAATTTAGTCAATAGAGAAATTACTTATAAATACTGAACTACATTATTCTAGAGCAACTTTTAGCCTACATGGTTCATTCCTTACAAAGTTGAGTGATGTGGCTCAGTACCCATGTTAGTTTTGCACATGTAAATAAAGTTTTGATTTTATTATGAGAGGTACATAAATTGTGACCTAAACAAGTCTCATTTGAAATGTAAAATAAGATGGACCAAAGTAAATCTGTCTGTGCATCAGCATAAATACTTGTAATTTATACCTCTTAGTGTTTTTATAGGGCACAAAGGAAAGCATAGAAAATGAGCATGATGGAGACATTGTAGCAGTACTGTGTATTTTTATGCCAAGCTGATATTGCTGCTTGTAATTGATTGTTCACACATAATAAATTACTTTTTTTATATCAGACAGAGTAAAACTGTCTTTTGCAGGAGGCAACAGGTGAGTGTGTTTATATTTTGGTACCACAGGTACATCAAAGGAAGAACACAGGCACAGGCTTCTAGCTGTGATTAGCCAAGTGGTTAACCAGGATACAGTGTGTTCTGCTGCAGTGTTGTGTAATAGCTTTAGAATGCTTGACTTGTTTATTGTGTGATTAGCAATACACAGAACAGATTAATGTACTCAGCTTTATCATATCTGGTTCCTTCAGCAAAGCACAGAAGAATAAAAGCTGTGGCCTGTCCCTGCAGTTATTTATTGTTGAAGGAAAAGCTATTTTTAGAATTTTTCTTGGTTTTCCTATTTTCTTCCAGGTAAATGAGAGAAACACATACTTGAGGTTTATTTTTTTACCTTTTTTGGACCAATATTTTTGATGTCTTTGAAAGGGATATGGTATTAGATATGAGTTTTAGTCTGGAACACCTATGTCAGTAAAAGGGTTTGATTCAAAACATGCTTTAAAATAATAAAAGAAAACATGGTTACATGTTTATTTTTCCCATAGAGTCTTCCCTACTCAATCTATCACCTTAAAGTGAAAGAATATCAGTATTCCAGAGAAAACAATTCACACTTTTTTTTTTTCAAGGGTTGAGCTGTGGCAGGTAGAAACTGAACAGGGAAAATACAACATCCTCCGTGAAAAACTTCAAAAAGATGAGGAGGAGCTACAGATGCAATACCAGGAGGAGAGAGAAGTGAGGATTTGCAAGGAAAAAATAACAGCCCTGCAAGCAGAAGGAACACGTCGGGCTCGAGAGAAGTAAGAACCTCAAAGTCAGAGCCTGCTGCCTTTCTTGTTTTATTTTCAGCCAATTCTCTGCTGCAGGTGCTGAGATTAGCTAGTTCAGATACTGGTGCTACTGTGTGTCTTAGCTGGGTGTGCTTCAGGAATATTTGATGAGGAAATTGAATTAAAATAAGAATTGGCCATGGTCTTGCAGTTATGCAAGTAAGGATTTCTGATTTATGGGAGTAAACTTAATGAAAATGAAAAAAGGTACAAATGCAGGGGTTTTTCTCATAGGAAATGAGTCTTATTGGGTCAGAGTAACTGCATGTGTCTGCAGTGCTGTTGGCCTCCAGCACCTTCTGGCTTATAACAAAGTCCATTGAGATTTCCTGGAGCAGAAGCAGACACTAAAAAGCATGAAAGTGCTCTCCAAAAGCAAAGCAAAAGTGTCTCCTTCTGTGGCTTTTGTGAAGTTTATCACTTTTTCTATAATGTGGGGGATGTGGAGAGTGGACAAATGTCCTAATTTTAGCACATATTAATAAACTCCCCAACCCCACCCTGAGGTCTCATTGTGTTGGAATCA